TCCCATGAATTATATTTATATAATTATAAGAAATTATAAGGTAACTGTGTTTCAGAAATAAAAGTCAAGTCGTTAAATGTCCATTTTATCACATGAAATAAGTACATGACACCAAAATCACTCATCATTGGTGATACATCCTTCGTATTTTTACTTCAAAATTGTTTTTCTTTGTTCATCCTCTGCATTTTGACATTAATTTCGGCCCATTCTCAAGGAACAGGGAGCTTTTAAGTGAGACATTTACATATATTTTATTTGAAATTTTCAGCAACAAAAGTATTGCCTCTTCCTATTTATTAATTTTATTATTTACTAAGAACTCAGCTGTAAACTTAATTTTGTACATTTTTTGTGACTGTTGTGTGGCTTGAACTCAGGGCATGGGTGGTGTCCCTTAGGTTTATTTCTCAAGGCTGGCACTCTACCACGTGAATCACAGCTCCAGTCTTCTGAGATTTTTTTGTTGGCTAATTGCAGGTAAGAGTCTCATGAACTTAACTGCCTGGGCTGAGTTCAAACAGAAATCCTTAGATTTCAGCCTTCTGAGTAGTGATGATTACAGGCATGAACCACTAGTGCCCAACTATACTTTTTGTTAAAATTTAATATTACATTATTAATAAGCTCTTTTAAATTGCCCTTTGACCATTCTGGCATTATTGTAATTTATTCTTATTTACTAGCAAGATCAAATGTTCTGTGATTACCTAGTATTTGATTTGCCCCAGTTCTAGAGATAGAGCTTCAAGAAATTCCAATACCTGATGTTTAAGAACCAAAATCTAAGTTTTGGAAATACTAGCTGTTACTGAGTATCATGGGTAGGCCAACAGTAAATAGTGCCAGGAAAACAGATGTACACACGCGCACATATACACACACACCTATAATCCATCACAAAATGTTTTATTTCACACTTTTTCCTTTACCCATTTTTTAAACTTCTTTCCTTGACAATGATAAATCTGCCCATGACTAATTATAATTTATTTACTTACTTTGTGTCTCAGTATCACATTAAAGAAATTGCAGAATTGCTGTTAGTAACAGTAACACATGTATTAGTTAATGTTCAGTGTATGTACTTACCTCTAATTGGAGTGAGGCTACTTTATACATATTGTGGAATGGAGTGTGTCACAGTCTGAAGTCTGTACTACCTTTATTTATTGTTTCTGATTCACAGAGATGATGTAAGTTTACATGTAGTTTACTTATTTTGGGGTTTAAAAAAATACAGGGATTGATATATCTATTTTCTTAGTACAATGCAAAACAGTGTCAGCATCTAAACACTCCACGGGCCTCTTGGTGGCCAAAACTGGTCCTTCTTTGAATTTACATTTGGCAATGATATTTTCTTTCACTTCCACAATGGTAGAAAATTTTTATTATAATTATCTGGATCTGAGAACCTCTAAATATATATTCAATACCTATCTATGTTTTACATTACTTAGTATTTCATCTACTTTATTGTTGCCCTTCATTCAATTGTGTGGGTGCACTATAGTTTATCTATATATTGGTTGAAAGAAATATTGTTCATTTTAAAAATCCCATTGTTTGGTGAATATGAATTTAACTATTATAACAATTCACATAAAAGTTTTCGTGTAAACATAAATGATGAACTCACTCAAGTAAATAAGTATGATTAGAATTACAGGCTTAAATGGTAGGTACATAATTAGTCCTGTAAAGAACTGTTTTCCAAACTGAAGGGTTTTTCATTATCACCATTGAAAATGATGTCTATTGTTACTCTTCATTCTTACGATTGGCAAAGGTATATATATATATATATAATATTACCTCAGTTAATGTGCTTACACTACTGCGAACGTGTTTTCATACCCCTTTGTTGGCCTGATATGACTTTGAAAGCTTTTAATGTAAGCAAACCATTTTTAATCATTTAACTGTGCGCATAAGTCCATCAACTTGATATGATAATACAACTAAATTTTATATTGCACTTGCTATTTTTAAAATACTTCTTTTTTGTGTATACATATACAGACTCTTGTCTTACAAAATATTTCCAAAAATATTGTATATTGGTCTATGGATCCTACTAATAGTGCCAGTCTTTTTAAAGAAGGCATATTTCACCTTAGTAGACTGATTGGGAATCTGCAGCCAGGCGAAAAGTGTAGTATAACGGTACAGTTCTGTCCAAGTAAGTACTTTTCTCTTAAATTTTGCGTATAATTTGATTTATTATTCCTATATTAATCATTTTATTGTGTATTTAAATATTCTGCATATTTTAAAGTCATTTCATCAGCTGAAGGTACAGATAAGATTTCTCATTTTTCATATAGTCTTCTCAATCCTAATTTGTAAATTGTTAATATGAAGCCCATTATTTCCCACATTCATTTTCTCTTTGCTTGTTCAAACATCCCTCTTTTCCCAATGATCACAGACTGATCATCTAATAAGTTCATTTTGTTAAGTAAAGCTTCCGGTACAGAGAGAAACACTTGGTATAATACATCTATTGCTTTTCTATCTGGCTCAAGCTTTCACTTAGGAGCATGATCATGCATAATCCATAACCCATAATACTGTAATCCTTTTTTCTGATGATACCATCGATAGCCCCAATTCCTACAAGGCCACACTGTAGGTAGATTTTGTAGATTCTAAGATAGAAACTTGAATTTACACTAACCAAGTAACCATATTTCTCTCTATGAGACATTTGCATTGGAGATTCAGGTTTGAAAGGGCCTTGGCCAGTGTCTGTTATGCTCTGTTTTCAGGAATTATGTTGCAGGTTCCTATATTGAACTTTAGTGCCTAACACATAGTAAATGGCCACATGGGAACTTCTTGTCTTTCCTTAACAGATGAAATTGGCCAGTCAATCAATCCTGGCAATCTTATCTAATCTAAAAATTGTGGGAGAAGATAGCCCTTTTCTTTCATCTCAGCATATTCTTTTCTCAGTAATCCCTTTGGAGCCTCATGGCAGTTGCCTGACCTCATTTTCATTCTGCACATACTAAAATTAATATAGTCAGAAAACAACTTTAAAGAAGTCCTCTGTGTGCATCTGATTTTATAAATTATTATTGAAATGAACTCCAAGAAATGGGACCAAGAGGTTTTTTCCTTTGTTGCTTTTTTGTTTGTTTTAATTTCTCTTTATCTTGTTTATCTGTCCTTGGGAAGGGAATAGGGGCATAAAATGGTGGGACAAAGGGTGAACAAATGCAGCATGTTGAAAATGAATCATACAATTTGTGGGTGGGGACAAAAGGGAACACTGGGAGAGAGATGGAAGGGGTGACATGGTCCAAAAAGAAATGTACTCTTTACCTGACTTATGTAACTGTAACACCTCTAAACATCACCTTTTACAATAACAATATATTTTTTTAAAGAAGTCCTGTTTTTCCAAGTCTTTCCATTTCCTAACAAATGGGGCAATGTCATTCTTTCTGATGGAGGCATAGAATTCCATTGTGTATATATACCACATTTTCTT